GGAACGCTCCGTCACCTTGCGTGAGCGCGACACGCACACGACGAACCGGCAACATCCGGCAACTGATCAGCTGATCGCTCCCAAGACGCGAACGTAAAGGAAGACATTCACCGTAAATTTCCTGGTGAGTCTTCGCAGCCGCTGAAACTCCTTCAGCGCCCAGAGGCGCTTGTTGTTGCGGCCTCATGCAGCAGCGAGAATCAGCCTGCTGGGATTCATCAGGCATAGAAAGCTTGGAGTCTGGCAGACCAAGCGCCCGTGAACTCTCTCAGCTCTGAGCTTCAAGAATCCCGCTTGATCCGCGTTTTCCTGCCACGCTGCCCCAAAGCCCCAAAGCCCCAAATCCAACGGATCACCTATCGCACAGCAAATGCCAGGCCTCGCTGTACAAAAAGGCTACCAGCTCCCCCAGAATACGGCCGCATGAGAAACGGTCATACCAGCCCAGGGAGCGGCTGTTGGAGAAGTCCACGTCGTCCACCGGGAACCAGCCGCTATATCGCCTCTTCCTGTCATGCAGGGACGTGATGGACATGCTATGAGGCACTTGTTGAAGCACTTATGATGGTGAATGCCAGGCCTCCGGCTATGATCCTGCGACCTGAACTGGGGTAACCCTTCCATGTGGTCCCCAAAAAAACATTACGTCACCTTTGAGGCCGTGGCGGCAGAGCCTGTGTGCAGAAAGATCACCACAAATAGGGGAAATATAGGGACTATATAGGGGTAATATTTGGGTAATATAGGGAATACGGAACTAGATTATATCGGGAGTCTACAGCTCAACAATTTGCAATGTTGCGAAGCAGCACACAGCGTGAACAACTTGAGGCCATGCTCACCAAGCTCTACTTGAGAAAGGTCTCCGGTGAAATCTTCAAATTGCGGGAATTCTTTGTACCCATGGTGGTACTATTAGGGGGTATATTGGGATAATGGAGACTAAAAGGGAAACTACCAGGGTTTAGGGTTTAGGCAATCCTTGCAATCCCTTTTCTCGCTCTTGGTGATGGTGCTGCAGTTTGGCATGGCTCCCTACCACAGCTGTTTGATTTTTATCTTGTCATGGCTTAGGGTTTAGGTTTGGGGTTTATCTCGTCTAGCTGGAGAACCTCCCATGCCAGTATCATATTGGCTTCTAAGAACTCGTTTGCAGGTCATATAGGGTTATATCGGCTTCTATAGGGTTGCGTGGGGTTATATAGGTATTCTTCTGTTATATGGGGGGTCCACAAGTATATTAATCCCAATAGTGGACAAATGAAGGTCGAAAATGAGATGGAAACTGGGATCTTCTAGCTAAGTATGGGAATTTGAGCCAAAAACAGAGGTTCCTTTTTGGGGTCCCATAATGAGGCTTTTGATATTCAGGGGGTAGGTCAGGGGCCCGCCGGTTTGTGAAAGCTACCATATTCATATCCCATACCGCTTGGACAAGATTGCGCCAGGCCTGCCGATTGGCGTCTCCTTCCGAGCCTTCGAGACATGTTGGCTAGGGTTTGGGGTTGTCAAGGGCAAATAGCGAGGACACGTTCATCCACCTCCGCCCCAACAGCGCCATTTCTGAGACACGCCTGGGGTCCATCCACAGAAAAAGCACGTCATGGCCCCCTCCTTAAGCTTCGGCTACCATGTACGCTGCATCCAAACAACTCACGCTGCACGAAGCCTTGTGGGGACCGTCCTCGATAGGTTCGACCCGGCATGGCAAGTTTCTGTCAGCTATTTGTAAAGGCTGTCATTTTCGCTAAGTGCCTTCCAGGGCAACAACTTAAGGTTCCGCTACTTCGTCGTTGCTAGGCATCAACTCATGTAACTGAACGGGTCACACAGGCTGCATTCTGGCTGGTTTATAGAGCCACACGAAGCTGATCCGTGGAAGTGTCCAGGGCGTGTGAGTGCAGCGGAACTGGACGCTTATCTTTGGCTGAGCCGGACGGATTTTACAAGTTCACACTTGAGAACGTGTTGTTCCCATCCCATGGGGCGCGGGCTTCCTTTTTGGAAGCCAACTCCACAGGAGCTTCCCACGAAGCAGCGGCAGAAACTGACTTCAAAGACCTCACTATACATTGAGAACGTCAGAGATTGAAAGAGATTACGCCCACAAGCGGAATCTTCGTCATTATGAAGAACCCCTAAACCCTATAGTAGCTTCCACTTTCTGTTCATAATGCCAATATAGCCCCCATATAACACCTAATATTACCCCCATAAACCCAATAACCCCTACATAATCCCTATAGTCCCTGTAGTTTCCATTTTCTTCTCCATTATCTCCCTGAAGCACCACCAGTGTGCTTGCTTTCATGCAGGGAAGGGCTTCAATTGGATTGGCTCTACCGGCTTGGCAGGCTGAACCAAGAATCGCTGTGTCAGGGGAGGTGAATTGCTGCCAACCTGCAAATCGGCAAGGGTTGTAGGGTTTAACGGTTGTGGAGTTTAAGGGTTTAGGGTTTAAGGGTTGTGGAGTTTAAGGGTTTGGGGTTTAAGAAATGTAGAATTCAAGGGTTTAGGGTTGAATGTGGGACCTTACACAGCTGACAAGGGCTGCAATCGCGTGTTGAACCAGCATTCATGATACAATCCCGATGAGAACACATCCACGTTCTTTCCTACCCCCTCTAATTTGTTGATATTCGTGTCAGGGAGCGTGCGCTTTGTCAGTGGGAACAGCATGCCAATCTACGCTCCAGAAGTAACAAATCGAAATCGCACGTGGAAACCTGGATGTTGATCCATACGCCTTTGCTTGAAAACTTCCTTTCTTCGCGGGAAAGCAACTTCATTTTGTGAAGCTTGCATGACACCATCTCGCGGTCCCCTTTCCTATGCCTTACGAGATGTCCGCACACATTGACTCGTCCCGGGCCCTTTTTGAAGACTGAAATTCACAGGTTCATGGAGCTACAGTCTAAACTCCGAATATCGCACTTAATAACCCCCATAGCAATCTCCTATATAGTCATTTATATGACCCATAGTCTAAACTCCTAGTGCTCCCCTTAATAACCCCTAAAGTAGTCCCCTATATAATTCCCTATATAACCCCTTTAAGGAGTTTAGGGTATGGCTTATATGACCCCCTTTAAAGAGTTGAGATTATGGCTGATGTCGTCTCCCAGCTCAAGGTTCGAAAAGAGCGTGCTCTGCGAGGCCGCTTTAGTTTGGGGTCTCAGGATTTCGGGTTTCGGTGGAGGGCTGGGGACAGCTGCAGTCTGAGCACCCTAAACCCTGAACCCTAAACCCTGAACCCTAAACCCTAAACCCTAAACATGCCTAAACCCTGGACCCTGAACCCTAACCCCACCTGGATGGTGTTCGTGATGCAGACGGACATGGGCGGAGCGCTGGGACTGGGAGGCGTGGAAGCCGCCACTCTAACGGGTAAAGGCCAAGCTCCTGCAGCCGAATCCCGAAAACACGGTTTAGGGTTTAGGGTTTAGGGCTTCGAGAAAAGGAGGAGAACAAATTCAAGGTTTAGGGTTTAGGGTTTAGGGTTTCGAGAAAAGGAGGAGAACAAATTCAGGGTTTAGGGTTTAGGGTTTAGGGTTTCGAGAAAAGGAGGAGAACAAATTCAGGGTTTAGGGTTTGGGGTTTAGGGTTGAGGGTTTTGGGTTTAGGGCAACACGTTAAGTAGCTTCCATTTTCTTTTCCATTATCCCAATATTACCCGGACTATAGGGCTTTGGGTTTAACCCTATTTGGTTTGGGGTTTAGGTACACTGCAGATGTAGCGTTGCCCAAATGCTTGCAGGAATACAATCCTGAAACAACTTATACTGTGTTGGCCCCTTGACTATCCAGCATACCGATGCTAACATGTCTGCATGCACCAACCCTGCTTGAGCTACGGTCTCAACAACTTACCATGCCCGCTACAGCCCCAAGCCAGACACCACATATGCACCCGCCAATGTTCCTGAGGAACTTTTGTGTACATGCACCAAGCAACGCTTTAGAATTCCCAACAAAACAAGCCTCATATGAATCCTGATGTGTCCCTGTGTCAGAGACTCTGTAACATCCTGAACCAGAGTCCTCGCAATGCTTCACGGTACAGATGTGGGGCTTTAGTCAAAAATGGCTACCGGTGGGGACCCTGGAGATCAGTAGTGATTCGAGAGAAATTACTCCCCTTAGAAGAGTCTGTGATATTTATCTTAAGTAAGAAACTCCCCTTTGAAGCCTAAACCCCAACCACTTTGAGAGAGTCCCTCGACCCTGGACCCCGAACCACACGCGAGTTGTAGTCCAAACTCCTAGCATCCTCCTTCAGAACCCCTACAATACTTCCCTGGATAATCAACATGGCCCGTTTTAAGGAGTTTAGACCCCAAAGCCCCATGTAAACCCCTTCAAGGAGCTTAGACCCCTAAACCCCAAACCCTAAACCCATATAAGCCCCTTTAAGCACTTTAGACTAGAGCTCAATGTGGTAGTTTCCCAGAATAAGGGGACCCCAATATAGACCCCAAAATACTACAGTCCTTAATATTGGGACCCCTAAAATGGTACCCCTACTTCTGGAAACCCCAAACCCTGTATAATCCCCTATATAATCCCAGTTTCCATTTCATTTTCCATGTTCTTTTCCATTTGATTCTCCATTATAGTAGGTACCCCTACTTTGGCAAACCCCTAAACCCTAAACCCTAAACAAACTCCCAATCCCAGAGCCTGGGGGAGCAGGGCCAGCTTCTTGCAGAGGAGCCTGTAGAGCCTCACCGTCCACCGGAAAGCTTGAAGGTTGTAGGGGTTTAGGGTTTAGGGTTTAGGGTCTAAGGGGTTTAGGGTTTAGGGGGTTTAGGGTTTAGGGTTTAGGGGTTGAAGGTTGTAGGGGTTTTATAGGTATTATAGGGTATATGTTGGGGTTATATAGGGATAATGGAAAAGAAAATGGAAACTACTATATTATAATAGGGTATACTTTAGGGTCTAAGGGGTTTAGGGGTTTAGGGGCTTAGGGCTTTAGGGGTTTAGGGGTTTCGGTTGCATCGAAGGAGGCTCTTCCAGGTTCTGAGGAGCTGTCGGGGCTTAGGATTCAAAATCTCGAGCAAGGCATTCAAGCGCGACCATGAGGATGCTCCTTTACAGTACAAACCGAAAACAAGGTGGCTGAGCCAAGATTTCTGAAAGCAGTGCATCTCCTAAGAGCCACCATATGGACTTCTGCATTCAACCCATACTGCAGTGACATGTTTTCGAAAACCCTGCGCACTACGTTTCTCAACTGACACGTCGCTGCAGCCAGCTATTCCAGTTGACCTGTGCTGGCGTTGATTCCAAACTGCATCACGTGCACAAAAAGTGACATGCACTTCTGCAGCGCCTCAACCCTAGACCCTACACCATAGACCCTATACCCTTAACCTGTAAGGCAGATCTGATCAGACTGCTTGATCCGAGCTCTCTCAGGCGAAGCTGGTTGCATAGGCTCAGATCCCCAGCAACCATGATGCAGCCGGGATCCTGACTGTTCAAGGGCTTGGTGACCGCACCTGCTGGGAAGATAACTGCAAGCAACGGCATGAATTTCAGTGGCATCGGATCCACTGAGGGACAACTGCTTTGGACGCCTTCGCCGCCTTCACAAGTCGTCCTCATCTGATTGAATCTTCCATGTGGAATGTCGTTTCTCGGCAGGTGCAGTGTAGCAAACGACAAGTGACCAAAAGAAATCATGCCCTCGCAAGACTCCCTTGCTGCCTTTGCTCTCTGCGCTGTTCTTGAGATCGCACAGCCATTGGGATAGGCCATGACACCTCTCAGCGGTTCTCTAGACCCTCAACCCTAAACCCTCAATAGTAGCTTCCACGTTATTTTCCATTATCCCAATATAACCCCAACCCTAAACCCTAAATGGTAGCTTCCACTTTATTTTCCACGGCTAGGACTCAAGCAAAAAAAGGCCCGGAAGCTGCTTCGAAACTTGAAATGTCTATGGCCGCACATCACATTCAGAATTGAAGACCAAAGCGGAAAACTAGGACCCTAAACCCTAAATAACCCTAAACCCAGACATGCAGACCAAAGCGAAATACTAACCGAGTGCTATCAAGGGCTTTCAACAGTGTATGTGGATTCCTGGAGGATCCTAATGCGAATCAGCCACTTGACTTATACTGCCCCTTAACCAGATGCCATATTGGGGTCTCCCAAAATTATGGGTACCTTTTTGGGGGTCCCCATAATAAGGATTATAGTATTCTGGGGTCTATATTGGGGTCCCCCCAATATAGATAGTTTCCCTAAATTACTTCCCGTTATAATGGGAACCCAAATATAGGACCCCGTATTATAGGGAATTTAGCCCAAGCATATGGCTTTGGGTTTACTATAATAACATGCCCATATACCCCATATTCTCTCCACTGAAGGGTTTCACAGTCCTCGTATTGCCTCGTAAGCTTCCTTGGCATCAACTGCGTAGACCTTGGAGATCATGTTAGGCCAATAATGCCTCCTCCAAATCTGCTGTAGCACTGCTGTAGCCAAGCCAAGGAAAAGATGGCCACATTGTGTCGGCATTGTTGGCTAGGTGCTCAGAGTGCTCACATGCCTAGCTCTGTTAGGGACAGTCGCAAGTCTTGCAGCTGCTTCTCTCGCTTCGTCACTCTCTGTTGCACTGCATGCTCCAGCTCCACCAGCTTGGGGAAGGCATCCGCACTCCCTGCACGCCTCCTTTGCCGATCCCGGTGCTGCT